CTAATTGAACAGATTAATAAAAGGTAAATGCGATATTTATTTTTGCCTGCTGACAGCACACAGTATATTCTTGATAATCTTGTTGAAGCCTTATAGGAAGATGAAATGGAATGTACAGAGGCCAGCTCAACTTATTACCAAAGTACAGGAATTATATGGTTGGTTCATACCTGGGTGCCAGCTGCTCCCTTCTCTTCATACAGTCCTTCTTGGGTAAAGAAAAAAGATCAGTGGTAAGCTGTGTGTATTTATTTAGAAATTTTACATGTTCCCTCTCCAGAGACCTGCTAGAGCTGGTTTAGAAAGAAAAGCATGATACAATCATAGCAACCGCATAAAATAATTAAAATTAATATAGCATAAAATCCCCAACCATAGCAGAAAAACAGCATTAAACATTTAGTAGCCTAAAATGGTACTCATAAAACAGTCCACGGTCTAGAAAAAGACAGTGAAAACAATGTTTAAAAGATAAAACTCCTTAGTTAAAAGCCTCTGTACAAAGGAATATCTTGACCTGACACTTAAAAGAGAGTAGGGTGAGCTTCAAAGGGGATGGTGTTTTATTTATTTATTTATTTATTATTTGCATTTATTTCCCGCCCATCCCACAAGCGGGCTCAGGGCAGGTAACATCATTATAATAAATACAATTTCAATTTAAAACATGATAAAACATTGTAGCAGGAAAATCTAAGACAGACCACCAGAGAATCAGGAAGGAGAGTCAACAGTTGTTTATTATGCACGCAGGTACAGCTAAAAGTACCTCGGGGCACTTTCAAAACAGAGCTGTACCCAGAATGCAGGCGGGACGGATACTTATATAGAGATCTCCACAGAGTACATTTAAAAAAATCATTTTTCCTGGTCATTTCTTAGAATTAGCATGCAAGATTATTAAACAGAAGACCTTGACAGCATTTGGAGCAGTCTGTACTTTTTCTAAACCACAACATCCTTGGCTGATCTCATGTCCCTTGTGGGAAGGCTACAAGTTTCCTGTCATCAGCCAGGTGTGAATCTTTCTTGATAAAGGAGGTATGCACTGAGCAATAACAACAAGCAAGGTCAGCACTCCCCTAGTAACGGGCCTAGCAATGCCTAATATGGTCATGCAGTCTTGTCTTCCTACCTGCTAAAGCAATGAGTTGTCTTTTCTATTTGCAAAAGCTATGTTCCCTTAATGTTTTGCAAAAGCAATGTGTTCCCTTATAATGCTGCACAATTTGCTGTTAGATACTTAGATGCTTCAACATTATAACAATTAAAACAATGGGTACATATTGAAACAGTGTCAGTTGGCTATAAAATTCTGGCCCGATGGTGCAGTGAGTTAAAAGCCAGTTGTGAGTGGTCAGTACATGGACGGGTGACAGCAACCTCAAAGGCCTGGTGGAACAGCTCCATCTTGCAGGCCCTGCAGAATTGAAGAGGATCCCGCAGGGCCCTGGTCTCAATAGGGAGCATGTTCCACCAGGCTGGGGCCAGAACAAAGAAAGCCCTGGCCCTGGTTGAGGCAAGACGGGCGTTCCGTAGGCCAGGGACCACCAGGAGGTGTAGATCTTTAGAGCGTAACACTCTTTGAGGCGTATATGGGAAGACGTGGTCCCTTAGATATGTTGGTCCCAGGCTATATAAGGCTTTAAAGGTCAAAACCAGCACCTTGAAGCGAATCCGGTACTCAATGGGTAACCAATGCAGTTGGCGGAGCGCATGCCTAACGTGAGCCTGCACAGGCGTCGACATCAGCAGGCACGCCACTGCATTCTGCACCAGTTGTAATTTCTGGATCAGCTTCAAGGGTAAGCCTGCGTAGAGCGAGTTGTATTAATCAAGTCTGGAAGTGACCATTGCATGGATCACCATCACTAGTTCTTGGGGGGGGGGGGGGATAGGGCAAAGATGGAAAAACGCAGATCTGGCAACTGCAGCAACCTGGGCCTCCATGGAAAGAGAGGCATCCAGTGTCACTCCCAGACTCTTCACTGTCTGGGCCAGCACAAAAGTGTGGGGAGCCTGGCGCCCACATCCAACCCCCTTCCAGGAACTCCTTAGTCATTGTCCCACAATACCTCAGTCTTATATGGATTGAGCTTCAGTTCATTGCCCCTGATCCATTCAGTTACCTTCTCCAGGCACCTGTTCAGGACTTCAGCGGATCTGCCCAACTCAGCTGCTAAGAAGAAACAAAGCTAGATGTTATCTGCATATTTATGGCAACTCCAAATTGCTGGACCATCTTTCCCAGTGGTTTCGCTTAGATATTAAAGAGCATCAGGACAAGATGGATCCCTGCAGGACCCCAAACACCATGGGGCCAAGCAGCCTACCTTTTTGAATCAGCCAGTCTTGTAAGAGTGGAACCACTGAACCATGATGCCCCTTCTACTCCCAACCCAGCCAGCTTCTCTGGAAGGGTATTTTTACACAGCGATCACCACAAACACCACAGCATGCCTTTATTTTAGCCTGTGAAGTATTTCAAGATAATTCACATGGTCAGTGATAAAAATACTCAGCTCTTACATAGCACTTTCAGTGTTCAATGTGATTCACAGATATTGCCTTGTAATATTTTATAATAGCTCTGCAAAATGGACAAGCATTATTAGCTCCATATTGCAAGATGAATGGCTTTCCTAAGGCCATCTAATGAGTTTTTGACAGAGGAGAGATTTGAACCAGGGACCTCATGAATCATAATTTATTCGCCAAGCTATTATGCTACAGTAGCTGTCTTAAGTCAACGGTATGTGTACACTGAATCTGATATCGAGAAAAAGGAAGAAAGATTGCTGAGTGAACGCTTCAAGCTTACTCTAGCATAAAATATAGACCTATGTTCAACTGAACATATCTGTAACAGATTTGAAAATAAGGCTGCAGTTGGACTATCCTTTTCACAGGTGGTACTACTCAGCCAAGTTTCACCTAGCTGCATTCCTCCCCTTCCCACAACCATAATTACTTTTTGCTGTCAGCACGAGGCCAATGTTTAGAAGTGCATTTGTATGCCTGGTCCCTGAACATCTATCTCTGTTACTTAAGAGACTTTCCTCAAGAAGAAGAAAAAGAAGAGGAGGAGGAGGAGATTGGATTTATACCCCACCCTTCCTTATCCGAAGGAGTCTCAGACGAGCTTCCCCTTCCCCTCCCCACAACAGACACCCTGTGAGGTAGGTGGGACTCAGAGAGCTCTCTCGAGAACTACCCTTTGAGAGAACAGCTCTGAAAGAATTTATGACTGACCCAAGGTCACACCAGCAACTGCATGTGGAGAAGTGGGGAATCAAGAAGAAAATAAGAGATTGGATTTATACCCCACCCTTCACTCAGAGTCTCAGAGCGGCTTACAAACTCCTTTCCCTTCCCCTCCCCACAACAGACACCCTGTGAGGTAGGTGGGGCTCAGAGAGCTCTTGAGAGAACAGCTCTGACAGAACTATGGCTTGCCCAAGGTCATCCAGCAGCTGCATGTGGAGGTGGGGAATCAAACCCAGTTCTCCCAGATTAGAGTCCATGCTCCTAACCACTACACCAGACTGGCAATTGCAACCCATTGTGGAAGCAGGAAAAATCTTAGTAATTCACAACTTAGGGTTGTTCACAGCCAGCCAGGCATCTTCATAGCCTTTCTTGGTAAGCAAGAACCAAGCTCAGCTTTTATTTGGTGTACATGGACCACTTGACACAATTTTCAGGAAGGGGAAAAAAACAACACCCTATTTTTATTTATTGACTTCATTTGTACCCTGCCTTTCTCCCCGATTAACCCAATGTAGCTTCCATCCTTCTCTTCTCCTCCATTGTATTCTCACAACAACCATGTGAGGTAGGTTAGGCTGAAAGAGGATGACTGGCCTAAGGTCACACAGCGAGCTTCCATGGCACAGAGTGGGATTTTAACCCAAGTCTCCCTGATACTAGCCTGAGACTCTGACCACTACACTACACACTGGCATAGTTGTATAAGCAGTCCATTGGTTACATAAGAGGAAGAAAGAAATAGAGGCGAGAGGCGGCCTGGTGTAGTGATTACTGTCAGGGAAGTTCGGACAGACGCAGGTTTGAACCCCCACTCTGCCGTCACAGAAGCTCACTGGGAAACCTTACACCATTCACTTTCAGCCCAACCTATCTCACTAGGTTTCTGGGAGGATAAAATGGATCCCCATTAGGGAGAAAAGTAGGGTACAAATCTTAACAACTTAATTATTCGATTGCAAACCATTACCTATGTACTCATGATTTAGAACACTTCTGGTGAGATTAGTTGTGCAAGTGTAGAGGGCAGCCAGAGAGCTCGTCTTCTACCCGTGTAAACAGCTGCAGCTATTACAAGTGGCATGGGCAACTGCACGTGCGAACCACAAAGAAATCCTCAGGCAATATCCGGGGGACGGCGGACATATGATAGTATTTATTTCCACTCGTGATTGCTTGCTTCGCATGTTGTATCTGTCCAGGCATGACGCAGCCACGAGAGGATGAAAGTGGCTTGGCGAAAAAACCACATATTATGTAAGACGTTAACATTTCAGTGCATAAATCCAGGGCAGTACTACAAACTTCACTGCTTTCCTCCTCGAACCAGCGATGCCCCTTGCTTGAGAGAGCACGTTCACTTTCTGCGGTAACTTTCCCTCGGCGTTCTCCTTTGGCTGTGTGGACAGCTGCCTCGATGACGTAGCCATTAAGGAGGTTGAGCGATTTAGCCAATGAAACTGCAGAAGACCCGAGGAAGCCCAGCTTCACCGTCCCGAGCGCTATGGCGCGTGCGCCGGGACTCCGCATGGGTACATAAGGGCGGCTAATGGAAGCAAAAGCCCTGGGTTTGTTGCTGGGGGGCGGAGGCAAGCCCTACGTGATGCAGAAGCTGGGAGGGTGCTGCCGGACATAGCCGCGTGTACGTCTCTCTTCCAGGCGTCCTCCGCTGAAGGAGGCTTCCCGGGTTTATCCACGTGAGCGCGCGCTAGGAGTAGAGGAGCCGGCAACGGATGCATGACCATGTGTTTTTTGCAAAGAGGTCAGTAGCTGCTGCCGGGTCCCTGCACGGTCTGTCGGCTGTAGCAGCCTGTGCACTGAGAACCCTCCTGCAGTTGCCGCATCGTCAGCCACTGAGTCTTCGCCGGGCTTCTGGGAACTCTTGGCGGCTGCTATGCTGTGGATACACTTGGGCTCTGCTGGAAGCTCTGGAACGTTGCTTTTCAGCGCAGTTTGTCTCCTCCATGAGCATCCCGCCGCCGGCTGTACCGGCAGCCCTGGAAAAGGGGACGCCCTCCGGGCCTCCTGAGCACATTGCCTTGGCGGCAGGCTCGCCTGTAAATGGGGCCAGTGGAGTCCAGGAAGCCCCCGCCGTCTTCCACGTCCAGACCTGTGTTGCCTCAGTCCCCTGCCCAGTGACGACCATGGGGCGTGTAGCAGTTGCTATGAACCCTGCGAGCAGGAAAGTTCCTTTCAGCCTGGTGCCTTCAGTCTCCCAGCAGCCCGGAGTGCTCTCTGCTCCCGGAGGGACTCTGGTGGCCAAAGCAGCGCCCGTCGTTCCTGTCCAGGAACTCTCCAAACCTTCCAGTGTGGCTACTACGCTGGTATCCTCAGCTGGAGCAAAAGCCCCGCCAACGACGACAGTGCAGTTACCTGCAAACTTTCAGTTTCCACAAGGTAGGTGACTTCTGTAGGTCTCTCTCCCTCAATACAGTGTTGCGTTTGAGAACACATCTCAACATTCATAACAATGTATATAGAAGAATGCTTGAACAAAGTTGACCCTGCTGCTTAAATGTGGGTAGGAGGGACCAGGAAGAGCTTGTAATGCTGTTTACTGAGCTAGGAAATAAGTGGCATTCTGGTTGTTTCATTTCAGTGCTGTTTCTTTGTCAGATGTAGTATAAGAAGCTACAGCAGGCCACAGCCTTCTCGTGTTCGGAAATATGGGACCACTGTCTCTACTACATGTATTCATTGACTAAAAGTTCCTGAAGAGTGTTTGATGGGAGCTATTGCTGGTCATTTGGAGTGCCAAATGACACGACCAGGGTAAAGCAACAAGTTGAGAAATGAAACGGGCAACTAAATACTATATTTATCCTATTTGTCCCAACATCATTTATCCTTTAATCCGGCTAAAAGTTTATTGAGGGAGGAGGCCAGAAAGTCAGACTCCAACTTCCTTCCGCTCCTGGAAACGCAGGATCCAAACTGTGGCTTTGGTTAAACCCAGTACAGTGTGTGTGTGTGTGTGTGTGTGTGTGTGTGTGTGTGGCAGTACCCATATATAAGGTTGCACAGATTTCCACCAGTTCTTCCCTCAGAACTCGAGTGGTATTGGTAGTCAGTACTGGTGAGCAATGTTCCCTCTAAGCTGTGGGGTCTTGTGAGCAAAAAGTCTACTTTGTGAGCTACTGGCATTAAAGTCGTGAGTGGGCGATTTGGCTACTGCATAAACTAGTTTGCTCTAGAGCCATCCTTCCTGAGCTAAGGCAAAAATGTGCGAGCCGGAGGCTAAAAAACTGTGAGCTAGCTTACACTAAAATCAGCTTAGAGGGAACACTGCTGGTGAGTCCCACCACAAAACAGACTGGTCAGATTATATCCAGAAATTACTGTTGACTCATCCTTGTTTTAAAATCCTAGTAGGAAGTTGCAGACACTGCATAATGGTTAGAGAACTGGCAGTGTTACCTCTACTTTTTCTGCTTTCTAGTCAGTTGACTGTACTAGATTTTGAAGAAATAACTTTGTGGAAAGTAAGCTAAATAAAGACTTCTTTAAATTAGAACTGAGGACAGGTCAGAATGGATTTACAGTTTAAGGTCTGTGTAAGCTAAATCCAAAAGTTTGTTTTGAGCAGTGGCTGAAACTTGTTTGTCTGTAGCTCACTCATTTCACTAGGTCTCTGAAACATGCTCATGTATTAAATATGGAATACAATGGAGGTGGGATTACATGTTCAGTGCTGTTATGCAGGTAGTGGGTAGTGGTGGCAACTCAGTTTATATCTCAAGGTCTTGCTCTAGTGTAATTTCTGTGTGTAGTAATAAATTTTGCTGGCATAAGTGGCTGCTAGTCTCAAAACTGATATCATTCCCCATTGCCCACTGTTCCATGCTATCATCTGGTGAAATAATCATCTGTGCTGACTCTGGGCCTTCCTGAAGTGTATAAAGGAATGCCTTTTTTAACTGCCCCTTCTGATGTTCCCTTCCATTGCTGGCTGTGAGTCAGTGCACTCCCGTTCACTGAACTGGTTGAAGTTTTAACTGTGTAGCATGAAAATCTTTAATCTTTGTTTTGAGATATGCAAATCTCCCATTTTTATGCTTATTTATTTAACCTTCAACTTGCTATACCGCCCTAACCCTGAAGGGTCTCTGGGCAGTTTACATATGGTGTGTTCTAAGAACGCTTTGATCCCTAACTTGGGCCACATGGTATAGAAGCGGGGGGCTTCCTACCGGCACCCAGGTGGTGGGTCTTGATGTTACTCCGGCTCGACTTCTTTTCCCGGTAGTCTCAGGTGTTTCAGGACGACTGTTGTAGTAATTGGGCTGTTGGGTTACGTGTATCAAATTTCTAGTCCATGTCAGAAACAACTGCTTGTTGCCATTGTATAAACGTCTTCAAGAATGTTGATAGGATACTTGAGGTTGTGAAAGCCGTGATTGTTCAGATTGGATCAATGTCCATCATGGTTGAAGATCAGGCCATTTGAGCTGAATGGGCTTTTCACTGAGATTAGCATCTCTTATCTCTTTGGAGGAGGTTAGGGTCCTATAAAAGGTGATAATTCACTCACACCTAAAACCAAACACTGAATAAAGAGGCAGTTCTTGATCAGTATTTTTGAGACCATAGTGATCAGACTTCTCTAGGCCTTTTTGGATGATACCTGCCTTTCCTCTTATCTCTTGCTATCAGGCCTCGTTATGACAGCTTAAATCAGAGGTGTCAAACTCATTTGTTATGAGGACCAAACCTGACATAAATGTCACGTTGTTGGGCCAGGCCATCTGTGCCATAAAACGTAATGCCAGCTACTGGGGACATAAAGTGTATGAAGGACAGCAGCTGGTAAGATCCGAGTTGTTGTATCCTCACTGCAAGGCCCCATGGGCTGGGGGTGTGTGTGTGTGCAGAGGAAAACCCATATGGATGGTCTGGAGAGCCAGCAGTGCAGCCCTAGGCAGATGCTCCCACGCTGCTTGATTGCTGCAGATGAGGTTGTTCCGCCATGTTGAAGCCACAATAGGAATGGTTCTGCCCATTCCTCCCAAGCAGTCTCCTGTTCCCTCCCTTTTGCACTAGCTGCTTGCAGGCCACATTGGAGCCGTGGATGGGCCAGTTCCAGCCCCCGGGCCTTATGTTTGACACCCCTGGCTTAAGTAGTACTGGTGTACGTCATTGTACATAATGGCTTTTAACACTGAGAGCAAACTATCATTGGCCTTAAATGTGTTGGCCTGGCTTGGGGGGTCGGGGGGAGGGTGGGAGTCCTGCTGGTGTACCGTTTGCCCAGCTCTCAGTGGACTCCCTTCTATCAGAGGCAGTAGCTGCGTGGACACTGTGTTTCCCTAGACTATTGGTCTTGGGGGACTTTAATGTCCATGCAGAGACTTCCTTACATGGTGCAGCCTCAGATTTCATGGTTGCCATGGCAATGTTGGGACTCTCCCAGGTTATATCAATCTCCACACATGAAGCAGGCCACATGCTAGACTTGATCTTTTGTGCAGGGCTCAATCTGAATAGTATGGTTGTTTGTGAACTGGTGCCATGTCAGGCCACTTCCTCGTAAGGATCGGTTTGGGGATGGCCATTCCCCCCTGCAGGGGCAATTATATGTATGCTCACCCACGGAGACTAATGAATCCTGATGGTTTTCAAAATCCTCTGTGGGATTTATCTGGACCGGCTGGCAGTTCCTTTGATGAGCTGACAGAGATTTGGAAAAGAGGTCTTGGGAAGCTACCAGTTGGATAAGCTTCTGCACCCTTGTGTCTCTGTGGTGCTTTGGTATAATGAGAGTCTAAGAGATTTTAAGAGGTTGCTCAGATGGCTAAAGTGGAATTGGTGATGAACACGAGACAAAGCTTTGTGAACACACTATAGAGCCCAATTGAAGGCCTATGAGGTGGCAGTGAAAGCAACAAAAAGATTATTTTGCTGCTTCCATTGCGCCCAGTAGCATGCAACCAGCTCAAGTATTCAGATTGGTTTGACAAGTGATCTCTCCTTTGGTATGTCCTAAAACTGATTTGGCTCTCAGCTGTGATTCATTTGCAAACTTTTTTGTGGATGACGTCTCAAGTTCTGCCTGGAGTTGGCTGTTAAATTTGATAACAGTAGTGGGATGGAGGTTCCGCTTACCCAGTTCTTTTTTTGGTCTCTTTTGGCCTGTTCACTCTTGAGGATGTTGACAGGCACCTGACAGCTGCGAAGCCAACTACCTGCTCCTTGCATCCTTGTTCTTGTGGCTGGTAAAATCATGCCATGAAGTGGTAAATGGCCTTTTGAGACAGATTATTCATTTGTCTCTTTCATGTTTCCCTAGCTCCCTTATGGAGGCAATTGTTAGACCTTTGTTAAAGAAACCCTCCTTAGATAAAAAGGAGCAAGCCAATTACCGGCCAGTGTCTAATCTACGTTTTCTGGGGAAGGTAATTCAGCAAGCAGTGGTCGAGCAGCTCCAGATTTTCCTGGATGAGAAATCTGCCCTGGATCCTTTTCAATTGGGCTTCAGGCCTGGCTTTGGGATTGAGACTTCACTGGTTGCTTTGGTTGACAGTCTCAATTTACATTTCGGCACAGGCATGCCAGCCCTGTTGATCCTTTTGGATCTGTCAGCGACCTTCAATACAGTTGACCATTTGGTCTTGATTGACTGCCTTACCTCCCTGGGGGTAAGGGGCACTGTCCTTAGTTGGTTGTCCTCATTCCTCCAGGGAAACTCTCAGAGGGTTGCTATCGGGAAGGAGAGGTTTTCCCAATGAGACCTGAATTGTGGGGTCCTACAGGGTTTGATTCTCTCTCTCTTATTTAGCATATGTATGTGTGCCCTCTTGCTGAGATTGTCAGGAGGTTTGAAGTTGGGTGCCATCAATATGCTGATGACATCCAGCTTTTCCTCCTGCTAGATAAGTAGTTCGTGGCAGGCCTCTTGGTACTATCCCAGTGTCTGGATGCAGGGCCGGCTCACCCACTAGGCGAACTAGACATTCGCCTAGAGTGCTGGGCCCTGGATGGGGCGCCAAGCTGTGCCTCCCCCGCCACCGCCAAAAGCCCGCAAGCAGCTCTCCAAGTGTCAGCACTACGCTAATTGGGGAGAGGCATCCGGTGAGCATCCCCCGCCTGGAGACAGGATCCCCCCCACCTTCCTCCCAAACTGCCTTCGGAAGCGGAGCATGAGAGAAATCTCTCTTCCATCTTGGAGGGCGCTGCAGGAACATGCGGGGCATGCTCGCTGGGTCTGACAGCTGCAGGGGGGAGGCGGTGACAGTAGAAGCAAAAGGGTGGCTGGCTCCAGAGGTCCCCAGGCCCCACCTGGAGGTTGGCATCTGCACCACAAGGCAGCCTTGCCTAGGGCGCAGAAACACCTCGAGCTGGCCCTGTCTGGATGCTGTAGTCCAGTGGCTAAGGGGGAGCTGGCTGAAGCTGAATCCATC